TTATAACAACACAAACTTTTGGGCAGTGAAAAAAAGAGTCTGCACCTTGGTTAGGAGTTGGGGTTTTGTCACCAGAGCAGACAGACTGACAGGCTGGGCTGGGTTGGAAGGGACCTTCAGAGATCACCCAGTACCACCCCTGCATGGGCAGGGACACCTCCCACCAGCCCAGGCTGCACAAGCCCCATCCAACCTGCCCTTCAACACTTCTTGAACACAACCTCTTGTCACTTGTGCCCCGTGACAGGATGAAGGGCAATGGATTCAAACTGGAGCCCAGGAAGTTCCACCTCAACATGAGGAAGAACTTCTTTGCTGTGAGGGTGACAGAGCCCTGGGACAGGCTGCCCAGAGAGGCTGTGGAGTCTCCTTCTCTGGAGACTTTCCAGACCTGTCTGGATGCCTTTCTGAGTGACCTGCCCTAGTTTTGGTCCTGCTCTGGCAGGGGGTTGGACTCGATGATCTTTGGAGGTCCCTTCCAGCCCCTGTCATTCTGTGATTCAGGGATGGGGCAGCCACAGCTTCTCTGGGCAGCCTGGGCCAGTGCAGCATCACTCCATGTCCATCTGCTCCTCCAGCCCCTGGTGAGGTGCAGGAAACGTGGCAGAAGTTCAACCAAAGATGGGATTAACCTCAGGCAGGAGCTGGGTCCTGCAGTTTGGTGGGGTGAAGGCTGAGCAGGACCCTGTGGTGGGGAAGGCAGCACCCACCCCACCTGAGCCTGCAGAGAACCTGATAATTAATGCAAAGGCTTGTAATCCAGGGAAGTTAATTAACTGATATTAATTTGGAAATGAAGAAGCAAGGTATGAGAGGGGGATACAGCCAAGGGGCCTGACATGGAGGCCCTGACAGGCTGGTCTGGTGGGTGCTCACTGGTCTTTGCTTCTTCACATGGCAAATGGATGTCACCTGTGATCATGGGCAAGATGATGCACTTTGAAGGGGCCAGACTCGTGGGGAGAGTTGAGGTGCTGCTTGTCCCCTCTGGAACAGAACCTCAGTTATTTCTCAGTGCTCTCTAAGCACGTAAAACCTCCACTGCAAAGGTGATGGTTCCTCCAGGTTGTCAGAAGAAAGACACAGACTTCTTGTTCTTGTCTGGAGGCAAATGTGCAGCATGTGGCACAGCTCAGCTTGGTGTCTGCAGCTCCTCCAGCAGGATGTGCAAACTCATTGAACACCACTGACAATTCCCTGCTAGAGCTGGAGGACCTTGGAGGGTGGGCTTCAGAAGATCAGGGCAGAGCTGGGCTGGTAGTTTGCAACATGGATGAACAGTGGTTGGAGTTGTCATTGAAGCCCTGAGTGGAGAGAGGGAGGCATTTCTGGCTGGATTCCTTGCTGCTTTTTCAGGGTCTCTTGATGGAAGAGGGGGACTCCACAGGTGTGGTCCTGCTGGAACCTTCCTGGTGGTGTGTGCAGGCAGGTGCAAGCCCTTGGTGCTCTCCTGCACATGCTCTGCTGTTGCAGAGGAAGGTGAGGTCTAGGTGTCCATGTGAGACCTGGAATAGGCGTGGGGTGGAGGTGCTGGGCTGGATCCATGTTGAGCTCATCCCTCCTCTCTGCTGAGCCCTCCCTGGCTGCACAGACTGTTCTCAGATCGGTGCTGCTGCTGCCTTGGCTTATTTTGGCACCTGGTGGGTGGGCAGCTGGTTGCTTTGCCATGGTGCCAGCAGAGGGGCAGCCTCCTGCTGCCTGCTCCTTGGAGCTCTACTGGGATCACACCCAGGTGTGGGGATCAGGGGGGACTTCCCTGCTGAGCAGCTCTGTGCTGCAGGGTGGGCAGCATGGGGGCCTGGGGTGGTTGTAGGGTTGGATTCATGGGATCCCAGACTGGTTCGGGTTAGGTGGGACCTTAAAGACCATCCAGTCCTACCCCCCCTGCATGGACAGGGACACCTCCCACATCAAACCTGCCCCTGAACACTTCCAGGGACTGGGCATCCAACCTGGGCCAGGGTCTCACCACCCTCATGGCAAATAATTTCTTCCTAATATCCAATCTCAATCTCCTCTCTTTCAGCTTGGAACCCTTCCCCTAGTCCTGTCACTACATGGCCTTGTAAAAAGTCCCTCTCAGGAGTGTTCTTCCCTAGGTTGAAGCTGTGGCTGCTGCTACTTCTGCTTTGAGTCACAGCTCCTGGTAAACATGGTCTTAAAATCCATCCTGGTGAGCTGCTTGTGTTCCATCATCACTCCTGGTGCTTGAAGCAGTTCATCCTTGGTCTTTGGTCTGGGCCACTTCCCAGAGGAGATGGTTTTGGGTGGCAAATTGCCAACTGAAGAGGAATGAAGTTATGTTGGTTGGTTGGTTTTTCTGGAGCAGTCAGGAAGGACTTCTCTGCCCTTGGTCTTCTCCATGCGTTGCATCCTCCCCCACGGCCACGCTCTGGGTGGCCACCTCATTGCTGCAAAGTCTATCAGATGCTTTTTGCTGGATGAGTTGCCTCCAGAAACATAAATCTTTAAATCTGAAGTCGTGTTGTTCAGCCTGTCAGCTCAGCCCATCTCCTCAGGCTTTGGAACACCCAATAAATATTTCAGACCTGGAAGGAGGTCCCTTGTGGCTCAGCACCAGGATGGAATGCAGGTTCAGGTGTGTGTACACTTGACCTCCAGTTTCATGTGCAAACTCAAAGGGGTGGCTTTGGAAAGCAGGGCAGAATTCCCAGCTGACTTAGTTCAGGCTCTCTGTCTGCTGGAGAAGGTTTGGGTTATTTGGAGAGTGGCCTTTGTACTTCCTAGCAGACCATCTCCTGGCAGAGAGATGTGCCAGGTGGTCAAGGAGACAAATCAGAACTGCTCACCTCTGTCTAATGTGTTGAGACAACACTGGCTGATGCCAAGAAGGCAATTTCAAGCTGTCTTGGTGCCTAGACACCTCTGAGCAGACTCTGTGCTCTCCTGTAAGTGTAACCTTGGTGCTCACCAGGTCCTACTGGGAGGAAGGGAGGCTGATCCTTGGAGCTTCTCACCTTGGGAGCTGCTTTCCATGCCCTCTTAGCTCCATTGCCCACCATGCAGTGGTTTCTCTGAAGGCACATCCCCCTTGGTGACCAGTCCCACCAGGGCAGAGAGCAGGTTTACTTGAAGACCAGAAGCTGCAGTCATTCTGCATTGGAGGCTTCAGGCTCTTGTGATGCTCCCTGGGAAGAGCAGTCTGAGAGGACAAATGAGGGTTGTGGTGAAAAGCCTGACGTGGA